GGTCCCAGTCCGCCCGTCAGCGCTCGGGAGTTGGCAGGCACGGGGTTGTGTTTCGGCAGCTGCGTGGAGGCATTGGTAGCCCTAGCGAAAAACCTGCACGAGTTTAGTACTCAGGTGTAAGGGCTGGGGGTGAGGCGGTGGAGAAGGGCACTTACTCTGTAAAACCAAGGGTCTGCGTCTTGCGTGTTTGAGGTCTTCAGTCCAGTGTTGTTTGCTTCCCCAAAACGCTTAAATGTGGTCAGTTTCTTAGAAGAGGCAGCCGTAGAGGGGTGGGATATTCTATCCAGTTGCTGCTTCGTTCAGAAAGTGTAATGAAGCTAAAAGGAGTATCTTTATGTCTTTATTGTGTCTTTATTTTTAGGAATGTTTAATAGCAGAACTCTCAGAGATGTGTGGAAAGTTAAGCCACAGCAGTAGTTGTTGAAAGGTGCTATTCCGTGGCACTGAAATACCTCAGCAGATAGAAAAGGAGCTGTAGTGTGACCATGACCATGTGGTTAACTCAGGGAAAGGTGTCAGATGAATGAAAGCTGATAAATTCTGCAAAATAGAAAGTTAAAAGTTAATATGAACTTGTGCTTTCTAAAACTCTTTATTTTCTGTTCTTAGTGTGCAAGATGGACTCGCTGCTGACTTCAGGGCATTGACAAAGACTCTCTATGATCTGAATAAAGTGCTGGGAAGGAATGTAGTTCGTGGGAGTCCTCTCAAAGAACTGGTGATAGAAAATTTTGATGAAGAACAGATTTGGCAACAACTAGAGCTCCAGAACAACACAGTTCTTGATTTCTTCGAGAAATCCATTGCAAGGGATGCCAAGGATGGAGATCTTTCCCTTCTTTCAGACCAGGAAGAGGATGGCTCTGATGCAGAGACCAGCAGTGACAAGGAATTGGAAGACAACATAATGGAAACAGAAACTGAACAGGAGAATATTCACACAAAAGATAAAACTAAAGCTAAAGAAAAGCAGGGTAAATTCAGAGAAAGCACCGTACAGAAATACAGTGATGAGGATTCTGATATTGACTTTGATATTGAAGCACTGGAGAAGCAAAGTAAAACAGCCAAGAAAACCACACTGAAAAAAATGGGAAGAAAATCTGTAGTGGATGACAAGTTTTTCAAGCTGGCTGAGATGGAAGCTTTTTTAGAACATGCAGAGAAGGAAGACAGGGAGGAGGAGGATGATGATATTGATTATTTTGAGGACATTGTCTCAGATGATGAGGAAGAAGAGTCTGAAGAAGCTGAAGGCAAAGTAAGAATATCAGTAAAATAATTTTCAGATATATCTTTTTCTTTATATCAAGATCTGGTATCTGTTAGGATGACTATAAACTGTTGAACGCTGAGTAGAAACTACAAAGTTAAATTTGATTAGATGACTGATGATTACTTATGAAGCTTTAATAATGATTTGACATGGATATCTGAGAAGAAAATGTCCTAGTGTAGAAGAGCATATTGTCCTGCTATTGCAGTCTCCCCTTAGATGGGTCTTGGGCTTTTGCATGAATAAAGGAAGAGACAGAATGTCACAAGAAACAAGTGACCTCCCAGAATTGCAGAATAGGTGACCCAGCAAATGGGAAAGATTTCTAACTCAGCATGGAGATTGGGCAATCAGAGACCACTATGGTGACTGGTGCAGAGCAAAGGGCTTTTTCTAGGGCTGTGGACTGATATCTGAAGTTGCTGAGTAGCTGTTCCAAAAATAAATCTTTTATTACTTAAAATTACCAGAGAGTCTCACTAGCAAGTAAGAAATCTACCCAGGGAATTTGTGTGCATTCCAACAAGTATTTGGCAAAATCCACAGGTTACACAGCTAGTGCTATTCCCCAGGTTCTAAAAACAGGATACCCTTAGATTTCTGTCAGTCTTAACAGTTGTGGTTTCTTGTTTTTGTTCTTTCCTTCTCACCTTTTTAGCCAATTAAAAGTTCCAGAGATGTGACGTACAAAGATTTCTTTGATCCAGTTGATGATGATTTAGAAGCTAATAATGCTGAAGATGATCAGGAAGAGGAAGCAGACAGTGCTATTGAAGAGCAAAATGAAGAAAGCATGTCTGAGTAAGTAGATGTATTATTGGCAGTTAAAAATGCCCTCAGAAGTTTGCACTGAAGTGAAGCAGAAAGTGCAGCGAGGATGCCTGGCTCATTCTGGTCAGGGCTTGCCATTCTCAGTTAGCTCTTGCTTGTTCATGGTTTGCATTGTCACCTTGCTTAATATTAGTTTATTTACTTTTTTGTGCGTTGTCTCTTGATATTTATTTGAATAAAGCATTGAAGAGCTGTAACTTCATTTTTTTGAACATAATTTTTATTATGTTTCCCTACTGTCCCCTACCTTTGGAGGGGTCTTTGAGGCCTGTTGTATTTTATAACTGTGGGTTAGTTGGAACAGATAAATGTCTAAGGGTTGAAGTATCTTAATGTAAAAAAAAAAATAGAGGTTTTTCAACCTTTATTTTCTGTTAAATTTTATTGTTACAGGTTTGAGGATATGAATGAAATGGTGGAGAATATGAGAGGTAAAGAAGCATCTAAAAAAGTTACTTTTAGTTTGCCAGATGACAGTGAAACAGAAGACATAACTGATATGCCACTTGAGAAGGGCATTGATCCCAGTGATATAAAGTCATCTTTTGAGAAGAGACAGGAGAAGGTAATTTTCTTTTGGTTTTCATGTTTTGTTTATTTTTGATTTTGCTAATAACTTTGAAACAGTGACAAATATTTTTTCTTTTTACTGCTTGTGCAATTTGTTCAGTGTGGCAAATATGAAGAGGGTATTTACAATTTAAGAAGAAAAATGTGGCTTATCTACATCAGATAGATATGCAGTCATATATTCCCTCATCTGTATATGAGGAGGAGTTAGAAGTACCTGAAACAAATACTAATTTTTTGCCTTGAGTTTATTAGTGAGCTCTGTTTTAATGTTTCTGAGGACATTGTGTTTTGCAGATGAGCAAAAAAATACAAAGTTTAGAAGAAATGTTGTTAGAGGAGAAACCTTGGCAGCTCAAAGGAGAAGTGACTGGCCAAAAACGACCTGAGAACAGCCTTTTGGAAGAAACAGTGCTTTTTGATCATGCAGTTCGAATGGGTAGGTATTGGGACAGGCCTTTCCTGAAAGCATCTTGTATACATGTTGGGTTTCCTTCCCTTTGACCTTGCTGAAAACACTTGTGACTCAAGAGCAGGGTAGCAAAACACCAAGTTAAACTTCATGTTGTGCTTTTGAGGTTGTGCATTTTCACAGTGGAAACTAGAGGAAACTGTAAGATTTTGTGTTAATTTTTAGTTTAACTGAAAGTTCATTAATTTGGTGGCAGATTTAGTGATTTAGGCCTTACAAAATATGATTAACTGCTTCAAAACAGAGGAAAACATTTACTTCCTCCACCTTCAATTACTACATTTTTGTGAAGGCTTTAATTTCTTTTTCTGTCATTTATTCTTCACAGAACAAAGAGTTTCTTGCTGGAGAAACTCTAATCTTTTTTTCTTTCTTCTTTCAGCGCCTGTGATCACTGAAGAAACAACTTTTCAGCTTGAAGATATGATTAAACAGAGAATATTGGATGAGGTTAATATTATCTTGTTCCTCCCTATTTTGTTCATACACTTTATTCACACAGCACGTTCCAAGGATGAGTTTGAAGGACTTCAAATGTTAGGTGTAGAGTTCTCTTAATTTCTGCAACTGGCTGTTCTATTGGTGAATTGGTGAATGTTTCCTTAGATTCCTAAGGAGCCCTGTTTTACATCCCTGTTGTTTGTTAGGTTTTGGGGCACTGCAAAAAGTATCTGTTTGCAGATAAAACTGGAAGGAGTTTATTTGGAATATAATGCCAGTCTGTGAGTTTTGGCTGTTACCATAACTGTAGTGCTCTGAGCATTCTGAATACTGACCAAAACTCACTAGTTGACTTCACTTTTCTTAAAAACCACTGACAGAATCTGTGTCTCAGAGCTTGTTGAGCCTTACTGTTAGCTGAATAAAGAAATTGGTACATATGGGGGAGAGTTTTTAAGAACTTAAGAAAATTGCACATTTGTTACTTGTTACAGTTTTTGCCCCAGTTCACTAAAAACAAGGAAACCAGCTACAGCTATAACTTTTATTACTTTTTCCTTTTTCAAATGAAAGTGTGAAACTGAATGAATTCCTGGGAAGCCACATGTATAAACTAGTGAATGTGCCAGAGAAGTAATTGAAAAATAAGCTATAGTACCTGATATTTGATTGTAGTTGCATTTGGTCATTGCTTTTTGTCTTTCTCAGGCATGGGATGATGTAGTACCAAAACAGAAACCAAAAGAAGAGGCTTTTGAATACAAGAAACGAATCACCTTGGATCATGAGAAGAGTAAGCTGAGTCTTGCTGAAATCTATGAGCAGGAATACATGAAACTACACCAGGTAACATAAACATTGCCTTTCCTTTAGGGTTTGGAGTTCACACTACATAATCCTGTGTGTTTATTTATACACTGCTAACTCTGCTTTCATCTTTGTGCAAGTACTTTAGTCCTTGTGTTCCCCAGTGAAATGGCTCTGAATTGCATGTTGTGTTATTACCAGTCTTGCTAAAGTAAAATAGCTTTGTGAATGGTGTTGCAGTAACATTGCATTATTAATGCAGCAAAAGACTGAAGAGGAAGAAAATCCTGAACACAAAGAAATTCAGGGAATGATGGATTCACTCTTCCTGGAGCTGGATGCACTTTGTAACTTCCACTTCATGCCCAAACCAGTAAGTACGCAAGTTTAATAAAGTTGGGTCATTCCCCCCCCCTTTTTTAAAGTGGATACTTTAAAATACATTTCAGAAGTGGAAAGTAAAGTAAATATTGATGCTTACTGAACTCATTCTTGTTTCATATTAAAGGGACTCTGATTACCTCTAAACAAACCCAAATATTTGATATCTTTGGTTGCCTGTGAGCTGCTGTGCTCAGTCCTGACAGTCTCTCCTTATTTCCAGCCCGTGCCAGAAGTTAAAATAGTCTCAAACCTTCCAGCAATAACCATGGAAGAAGTAGCACCTGTTGCTGTTAGTGATGCTGCTCTCTTAGCACCAGAGGAGATCAAGGTAAATATGAAACTTCATAAGGATCTGGAGAGGATCTGTGGTGTTGATAGAAGGATGTGGTGTCTGCCAGATCAGTGGGAATTATGTCCCTTCCCACCCTGGGTTCCTCACCTTGTAGATCATCTTGCCTAGAAGTTTAGTGTTGGTTGTTTTTGGAGTGGTTTTGGGGTGTTTTTTTTTTGTTTGGGTAAAGAGAAGAGTCTATTTTATTTGGCTACAGTAGGCCATAATATAATGCTATGGTTTTGATCTTGACTATTATGTGATGCTAATTGTTTTCCCAATATATATGGTGTTTGGAAGGGCAAAGCTAAATGACAGTAGAGAAGAGCAATTAGTATGTCCCAGATGAGTTGTACAAATCTCATTTCCCAGCCTTTGCCTCAATGCAGCCTAAGAGTCTATTTTATTTGGCTACAGTAGGCCATAATATAATGCTATGGTTTTGATCTTGACTATTATGTGATGCTAATTGTTTTCCCAATATATATGGTGTTTGGAAGGGCAAAGCTAAATGACAGTAGAGAAGAGCAATTAGTATGTCCCAGATGAGTTGTACAAATCTCATTTCCCAGCCTTTGCCTCAATGCAGCCTTGCCCTGAGCTGCTGAACACTTGAAATAATGGAAACACTAAGACAGGTGGGAGTTCTGTGATGTGAGACCTGTCTTTTGCATGCTTATGGATCTAGAGATCTTGTTCTCTTTAGGAAAAGAACAAAGCTGGTGATGTAAAAACAGATGCAGAAAAGACTCCCACAGACAAAAAACGAGAACAAAGAAGGAAAAAGCTTCGGAAACGTATGAAGCGAAGGGAAAAGGAGAAACGGCAAAAGCTGCTTGAAAAGATGAAACCAGGACAAGGCACAAAACTTAGCAAAAAAGCTGCTGCAGCAAAATTGAAAAGGCTTACAAAAGAAGGCAAAGCATCTCTGCTCAAGGTAAGGCAGTCTAAATTGGAACTTTTCTGCTAAGGAATATTAATCCCAAGGATAGAAAATATTTAGCTAGAGAGAGGAAAGGAAACTATCGCAAAGAATTGCAAAGTATAAGGTTTGCTTCCCTCCCATCCCTCTTGGCACAACAGTATTTCTTTATCACCTCATAAAATCTTACACACAGGTATAGTACCTGTGTACTACCCCAATCTTATGTCTGAGCAAATACAAAGGGTAAATGTGGTTGCTACAAAGGAAGAGGTAGGAGGAAGACACTGAAAGGGCAGATGCATGTTCTTTTACTTAGTTATTTAGTTTTTATTCCCCCTTACTTTCCCCTATAGTCTTCTGAACTGCAGTTTTGGAAGGAATGCTCTAATGCATACTTAAAACTGTCTTATGCAGAGTAGTATTGAATTTCTTGCAGTCCTGGTTTTGTTAATTATCCTGACACCAGGATGTCAGGATAGAGAGCTGAAACAACACAGCTCTGGTTTTAGAAGTTTACTCAAGTATGAAACAGATTTGAACTTAATATTTAGATATGGAAAAATATAAAAAAGCTGTGTGATACAATCACTTTATATGAAGGTCTGTTCATAGAGCAGGAGTGGAATAAAAATAAAGTGGAAAATATAATTTGAAAATCAGTTACCAGATTTTTTTAGTCAAATACCATTATTTGTGAGTAACTAGTAAGTAGTATAATGGTACTGTTTGTACACTTCTTGGTTATAATACATGTTTTGTCCATTGACAGGATGAAGGTAAAGACAAGGCCTTGAAATCATCCCAGGCCTTCTTTTCTCAGCTACAAGATCAAGTAAAAATGCAAATCAAAGAAGCAACCAAATTAAAGAAGAAACAGAAGAAGGAGAAAACACTCTCAGTTCAAAAACTGAAGTTGTAATTTACCTTTTTATATATGTTATATCTTGTACATGTTAAAGTGTTCCTGAATGAATGCTGATTTTCAGTAGATTTTTATTCCGTGTTCTTTAAAATGTTCTCTGAACTTCTAAGGTGTTCTAAAGACACTTACATCTAGGTTTTGCTATTTTCTACCATAGAACTCTAGTTATTCCAAAAAGAAGTCTTCCTGCCATGGGCAGATACATAACCATGTGGGATACTTGACACGTGCTGTTACTGTACAGTCTTCTTAGTCTATAGCCCATAGATTGGTATCTGCTGTTGTAATAGCTCTGTATCTATTGCAGGAGTAACCACATTTATTGAAGAACGTAAGATGTATCCAGGCACTTAACTTGGAAATTATCTTTTGACATTGTGATTATCAAACAGGGAGGACACAGAAGCTTTTCAAGCCTGTGGTAACTCAGAGTTAGGAAATGGTATCTTTTAACTTTAGACAGAACCACATATTGCAATGGACCACAGTGAGTCATCCTGTCCAACCTCCCTGCTCAAGCAGGCAGGGTCATCCCAGAGCACATGGCACAGGGTTGTGTCCAGATGCTTCTTCCAATGCCCTCAGTGAGCGAGAAGCCACAGCCTCTCTGGCAATCTGCTCCAGTGCTCAGTCACTGCACAGTAAAGAAGTTCTTCCTCATGTTCAGGTGGAACTTGCTGTGGGTGAGTTTCTGCCCTATGGCTCAGCATCACTGAGCAGAGCCCTGTCCATCCTCTGCTACCTCCCTGCAGCTACTGGTAGATGTTGATGAGATTCCTCTCAGTCCCTTCCTCTGAATGTT